GGGCTACTGGGTTAAAATACCTTTCGCAACGTTTACCAAACGTTGCGAAAGGTGGAGTCCTACCTTTCGCAACGTTTAACAAACGTTGCGAAAGGTCCACCTTATCTCTACCAGAGTTACAACCCTTACACGCAACAAAATTCCTATACTTGCGCTCCAGAAGATGACCCTAATTCTTGTGTTATTTGTTGATTACGTGATTTAAGTGTTTTCTTTACAGTGGGTTTCTATTGGAAAGGGGTGTAAATGTATCCCTAGCTACAATACTCGTATATGTAACATATATAAAGTAGATTTGAACTTGAAAGAGTTGTGGTTCACTGGAAATGCGCTTTCAGAAGGCATTTTGGAATTAGTATGCGCTTTTCAGTGTTGGTACTCCAAATCTTCGTGGACAATTTAATTTCACCGGATCCATGTTGAAGACAACGGGGCAGTCGTTACACCATACAAGCTGATCGCTACTTAGCAACAAGGAATTTTCTACAAATAAGGCACAAGTAACTTATCAAAGATGTTTTAGAACAAATAGTTACTTAAAGTTAGTTTAACTTTTAAGCTTAACCAAACCTATTGTTAATGTTTTTCGTAATGCTATTCTCAGTTAGGACTATCAGTAGTCGTGCTAATGTAGTATACATCTAATCCTTTAATCATTTATAGTGAGCATTATTGATAAAAAAAAAATTAAAGGACTAGATATATGCCACATAAGATGACTAATAGTAGTCATCATTATGAATAGCATTATTCGAATATTTTATTAGATTGAAAATGAAATTTCTGAGTTGTTTAGGGGCTCTCCTCTCCTTTTAATTAATGTTTACCTATGTTTATGTGAGGATTTAGTGAATCATATTGAGCCAAATGTATCACAAATGTAAACTTTTTGAGGAATTTCAGCCTAACCATTGATTATCATTATGTTTGTTATTATTGCAAAAACAAAAGGCCTATCTTCAAAAACCATCCAAAAATTCAAGTGCTACCTGATAAGAAAAGTCATTAAAAAAAAAAAAGGCTTAGTGAGTGAAGAATTTCGAAAATAATTATGCATTCTCAATTTATACATGTTTATCAAAAATTGAGTTCACATCACTTAGCAATTCACTGAATAACACTCATTAATAATAATAGTAAAGATTGTGAGACATTCCTAACACAATTTAGCAGTGTTTGAAAATAATATAATCATCAGATGAAATATGTTCGGTAATCTATCACATACCAATATACTGAAAAATCTCACAAACAATGTACCATCTGACTAAAATCTTTAATGGTCATACATGAGTGTCATCTATGCACGAGCCTAAGGCCCCCTCAGTTCACGGAAGTCTATCCCAAATACCTATGATAATGTATTCTAGCACAAAATTATGACCCCTCAATGTATTATCTTACACGATTTTGATCCCTTTGTGCATTATAGAACACATATATGACACGTCAGTACACTAAAATAGATAGAATCATTGGTACTTTCGTGGTGGATTTCAGTATTAATATATGTCTAGGTTTCCATTCTACAGTTAAACAATTTAACTTGATTGCAATTTCTCAACATAATAGTATAATAAGCATTTCATAATAATCATGTAACTTGCCAAACGATTCATAAAAATCTCACATAACATAATAGTATAATCAACTTCTCATTTTTCCGAAATATTTAATTTTCCACTCATAGAACTAACTATCTACTGGAGACTAAATCGACTGATAGTTGTCACTATGTCCGTTCGCCTCCTGTGATGACAATTCGAGTCAAAACTCAATTGTTTCCAATCCAAATTAATATTTAATGACAAGGCACCAGTTTCACTTAGCAATCTATCTCTATTCACTCATTCAATTTCATCCCTTGTTGGCCACATGCATGTAGCCATTATGTGTATCGGAGTCTAATTTCCCGTTGCTGATAACATAACAAGAACAAAAAATCTGAATTTGTTTTTCTTCTCATTTCCCAGCCTGTTTCGCGGATACAAGAAAGTCCATCACTTTTCCTTTTTGGTTCCAATCTGTAATAATTTCTGCTCAAATCAATTCAATTTCCATTGCCATCTCTGCTAATCAAAGCATATTTACACATATACTTATCCTGTCAAACCCATTTCAATATCCGTCTCTTTCTCTCCCAGCAGATTTCAAGGCCATTTTGTTTCTCTCACCCCAACACATTCGAGTAACACAACTTAATTCCATAGCAATAAACATATCCAAGAGAATCTAGTCGAACGATCTTCTTTCCTGAATTTCTTATTCATTTCTTCTTTCAGCTGAGAGCTGGTTCGAAAAATCTGTCACCCGAGCATGCAAACAAGCATACTAGATCTTCTGCTTCAGATTGTTCCCTATGAGCTATCTGGTATTTTTTCCCTATGAGCTATCTGGTTTTTTTTTTTGTACAAATCACCGTAGTATAAATGTGTGCGTTTGTGTTATAAACTCATAGCTCTTGCTTACTGTTGTAAACATTTCGAATGCATAATACTTTATAAACGGTTGAGTTTCTATGTTATTCGACCATAGAACATATGTGCCATACCTCTTAGGATTGAAGTGCAGAAATGCTAAATGGCTGTAGAGTAAAATCACAACGGAAGCAGAAAATCATATTCACCAAGAGTACCCAAAATTCAATAGCACTAAGGGATTGATTTATCACATTGGGCTCAGAATCATGTTATTGTACCCTTTTGTACAAGAAAACGACCACAAAGACCCAAACCCTAAAGAAAACTGAACCACAACAGCTACTCAATGGACCAAGATCAAACAACTGATCCAAGACTCTAAAACCCTCAATCGAAGAATCACTAAGACCCCAATCACAAAGATGTAAGATCAAAACCAAAAGTTTTGATCAATTCACACGGAATCGAAAGAGAGAATACAGAGATGAACACGAAAGGAAAAACCCAGAAGCTTCTATCGAACTGAACAAAAAGTAGAATGAAAAGTCACGCAAATGAGGACCACTCAACTACCTTAAATACAGGTTCTCATCACCGTAGATTCAGCTGGAGATCAACGGACCAAAGCAACACACATGACAGCCTTAATGGGTCGGGTTTTAGGCCTTTTCTTGTGTTATCGGGCAATAGTTAAACATTCCAGCAAGTGGGCCAAGCCCAGTTTCATCATTGCCCAGTGGACCATGGCACTACAGCCCATCAATGGCAATGATATTCGTAATTGTGTGAAAAGTAAGATGATAAATATATTTTGTACACTTATCTAGACCATTAAATTAGAGCATTTGTTAGTGATTCGGATAAGTTATAGATTAATTTTATGTTAATTATGTTTGTTAGGTTGAACTAAATGCAAATTGGTAATATGGAAGAAATGAACGAAAAAGGGCAAAAACAAAAGAAATTCAAAGCTTGGGGACCACATTGTAACATTTAATAGTTGATTTGGACCATAAAAATGATGATTGAAGATCTCTTATAATCAATTGGATGCATTTGAAGGTCAAATAAGGGAAATTTAGTTGGAAGTATTTTCACGAATCAATTTCCAACCGAAAAAATTATGCCTCTGTTTGACACCCATTTTTTTCTCATTCTATTTCTCTTTCTTCATTTCAACCACATATACTATTAAGAAAATAATATTACATATAAACCCACAAATTCTCCTTACTTTTTAACCACACAATCTTCCATCAATCACTATTCCAAAAATTATTTTCAAACAAAATGGGTGTCAAACAATCTCTATGTTCCAGATTTTTAGCCTCAATTTGAGACTCATTTTTCGATTATCAAACATTCAAATTAGGAAAATTGTATTTCTAAAAGAGCTCGAGTTATCTTTCCAAAGTACTTCGAATCGTCTCAATCGGATATTAGGGGAGAAAGTTACGATCAAAATATCGAAAATTGCTCAGAGAAGACACTGCGGAAACCCCTGCGCGCGGGTTCGATTTGCACCGGCTTGAGCCGGGTTATCCGCTTATCATCGGTGGAATTCCTCATGATCAAGGCTATGAAGCTCACTTCGATGGTAATCAATAACATCTGTACATGTGTATGTGCGTGTTTATAAAAAAGATTAATTCATTTTTGCAGTGGCGGACCCAGCACTCGGCCCGAGGGGGCGACCGCCCGTGCTGGGCTCCGGCGGAATATTTTTGGGAAGAAGATAGGCGATGGCCACCGGCGCCTGCCTGGTTTGGTTCTGCCGTTCCGCTTCCTGTTCTGCTGTTCATCGTCTTTCCCATGTTCTTTTTTTTTTTTTTTTGGTATGTAATGAGGTTGGGCCATTGCTGCCCAAGCCAGCCATTTTTTTTTTTTTAATTGGTTGGACAATTTTTTTTTTCCCAAAACTTAATTATATATAAGCTCGGTCCTGACCAGACTAGACCAGACCATCCATTTTCTTTTTATTTCGTAATTGGATTGGGCTATTAGTTTTCGGCCTAGTTAATTATATGTGCAAATTACCCAATTCCCTACTTTTGGAGATCCAAATTCTAAAATCAGATTTCATGTTTTAATTTTCAAAAATCAGATATTTTATTTTAATTAATATTTTTATAAAATAGATATATTTATAAAATATATACACTCCAATACATACATCCCAAACCCTAATTAATCCTTATATTTTATATATAGATACAGATTTTTTATATTTAATTAAAAAATAATAGTAATATTATAAAAATTAATTTATATACACCCACCCCACCTCTAAAATTAATTATCAAACCCTAACTCACCCCTGTCTCTCTCATCCCTGTCTCTCTCAAACCCGATTTGAAACCGTCGAAGACGCCTCCACCTCGATCGGTGCAGTAACCCAATCGCTGGACCGCCACAACCCGTCGCCTTTCCCCACTCTCTCTCTACACAACCGCCTCCGCCTGCCGTCTATCATCCTCTCCCTTCTCTTATCTCAGTCCCGTATCTTTTCTGATCTCCCTCTCCTCCATTGCCGTCACCGCAGCACCCCGATTGGATGTGAGCGATGCCGCCATCACAACAATGACCGCCTTCGTAATGAAGAGAAGATGGCTCGGCGAAGCTGATCTATTGGCTCCGCTACAAATACTGCGAAGAGCGGTGATTAGTGCCACCGCTCGAAGCCGATGTGTGCTCCGCTTAGTGGGTCTACCGCTGTCGAAGATTTGTTATTCTTTGAGTTTTGATGGCCCGATTTTGTGGGTTTGGATAGTTTTCTGTGGTTGTGGTGGTGGTGGTGGTGTTTGTGGATCGACGGTTGGGGTGGGTTTTATTGAATTTGGCAGTAGTTTTGGCGTTGTTGGGGGAGGGTTTAGGTGGTGGTGGTTGGTGGTGCAGGCGATGGTTTTTGTGATGGTTTTTGTGGTGTTGGTAGTGAGGTTGCGGTTTGACTTTGGAGGTGGCGACGGCTTCGGTGGTGGTTTGTGATATTGGCTGCGGCGGCGAGACGTTGGTGCTGTTGGTTCTGGCTACAACAGCGGTGATGGTGGTGTTGGATGCAGTGGTGGCTGTGGGTTTGGTGGTTGTGGGGCGGTGATGTTTGGTGGTGATGGTTTTTGGTGGTGGTGTTGGTGGTGGTGGCGTAGTCGGCCATCATGTGAGGGTGGTCGCAAGTAGCGGTGGAGACATTAGAAGTGGTGTTGGTATGTGACCCAGTAGTTGACCGTGACCAACTATTTGGTCGCTTGTGACCAATTAGTTAACTGGGGCCCTTAAAATTCGAACGGTGACTCACAGTTAATAAGTTGTAATCGAAAAATTAATATGTGACCTATAAAACTTTTGATTTGTGACCGAGAAAAATGTTGATTTTGTGATCCGTGACCAATAAAATAATCTATGACCTATAAAATTATTGATTTGTGACCTCAAAATAATCGGTGACTTATAAAATTTTCAATTCGTGATCGAGAAATAATCTGTGACCTATAAAATTCACAAATCAATATAGATGGGTCACGGATCTATATGATCATTTAATTTGATAGCTATGACCATATTATATAGAGCTGTGGTTAATTATTTCGTCGTTAAGGTCACAGTTACACGTTTGAGGTCACAAATCACAGTCACAGTCCTTAAGGTCACAGATCACAGTCACAGGTTAATTATAGGTCACAGATCAATATAAACGGGTCACGGATCAATATTAACAGGTCACATGTTATTTTGTAAAGTCATGATTCGGAGTAGTCGCCGGAGTTGAAACAATTGCGGAATCGGAACAGTCGCTGGAATAAATCGACGGCGGAATGGTCACCGGAATAGTCGCCGAAATCAGAGCAGTCGCCGGAATAGTCCCCGGAACGATCGCCAGAATCGGAGTAGTCACCGGAACGGTCGTCGGAGCGGCAGTGGAGGTGGGGTGGGTTAACTATATATATATATATATAAACGATCTCGATTTTACGATCGCTGATTGTCGACGTTGACCGGTCAACGTCCGCCCGGGCTGAGGTCTAATGCTGGGTCCGCCACTGCATTTCTGTATTTGCATTTTTATTGTTCAACTTTAATTTCATATTTTCTAATAAATTCAATTATGATGAATCTCAGTCCCAAATTTAGAACAATGTCACAGACTACACACACTCACGCTGTGTGATATGCATTGTTATGTTGACTTTCTCTGACAAATTACACATCCCATTTGACTTGTATGTTTCGAAACTGAAACTTCGCTGTTGTTGGATTGGTTAGTTGTGCTGTTGTTCTTTGGAAAGATGTGAGAATTTAGCTTTCTGCAGTTTATCAGAATGCATAAAGTCCCTGGTTTAAGTATTACTGCTACCATTTATGAAAATTGTAGATATGTCAAGTCTTTGATGATAAATCATAGATGAATCCAACCTATATGTAAGGAAGCTTGTTGAAAGTTAATTTGAAAAAATAAATGTGTTGCTTATGTGAAAGTTTAAGCTTTTAGACGAGGTGATTCTACTAACTTTTTAGAGTTATCCATGGTAAAGGAAAATGACATCAATGTTCCTCTTAAAAGGAGTAGGCATTCAATAGAGAAGATTCTAGATTCGTCTCCTTGTTTGGGATTAGAGTGAATACTAGGAATTGTGAGGCTGTGATGCCATGGTCCAGCCCACATTAGGCGATGATGATGGCCTTCGGCCCAATTACTAATTATCCATCAACTGAATGAAAGCCCAGTACCTGGTCCAGCCTAATAATCAGTCCAGCCTTTGAGTAAGCAGCTCTGACCGTTGGATGAAATGTTGCCAATCTCAATGCACAGATATTAGTTGGGTATACGATAGGTTTTATTCATTCATTCGTATTCTCTCTTTGACTTAAGGGTTCTAGAGAGTTCTTTTCTCTCTGCGTTTCTTTCTTTTTCTTCTCTGTGAGGAATCTTTGAATTTGTTTCTTAGAGTGTTATTCTTTGTGAATCCCTTGAAAGGAATGTGCTGAGATTCGGGAAACTTGTAGTCCTTCTGGTTCATAGAAGTTGCTATTCGTTTGGCTAGCGATTCGTGAGGTTTATGGTTTAGATCTGGGTTTTCTAAGTGTTGAACCTATGGTGATTGTATTCTGAGCCTTCGATCTGTGAAATTATGATGTTCAGTGTTATTGGTAATAGTTCCTGTATTAGGGTTTTGAGATCAGCTTTCGAGCTGGTCTTTGAGTCTGTAATTTCTATAACGGAATAATTCACTGTTGTAATTTCTCAGTCTTAGCCTCTTTAGGTATAATTTTGTTATAGCTTGAATCTTGCAGTTTGGACCACCTTCCTTTTGATATAGTGCTGAAAGAGGTTAAGCTTGAGCTCACATTTTGTTATAGCTTGAATCAACAGCGAACCACAATAAATCTTGAGTGTTCTTTCTGTTGTGATTGAATTTCTTTTGGTTGAATTGGGAAGATAACAGAGTCAGTCTAAGATAATGCTCTTAAAACATATATTTTCCCTCGATCCCAAGTCCCATATGAAAATGTATCTTGTTTGATTGAGTAATTTGTATTATGCTAGTTAATTTACTTTTCAAAAGCATAGATTTTCTATAATATTTTTTACAAATAGTGGAAATATTATGAGATATAACTTCAAAAAAAAAAAATAGGATTTAGTTTGGGACACTGTAATATTAAAAACATTGATAAAACTCCTGTTGCTTTTCTTGAGAGGTTCAGTTTACTCTCATGTTTTTGTAATGCATGTTAGCCCATATCGGGAATTGGTAAATGCGGAGATTGCATAGAAGAACAAACACAATTGTTATTGTTACGGGTCGGTGTCGGACGCTTCACCTCACCCACCACGTGTCAGAGGGGGTGGCCCACTCCATGACACGGTAGCCGAGGCGATTACCCTAAGGGCGCGAGCTGACTGCAGAGGCCGAAGTAATTGCTTGAAGGATGAACTGAATAGGTGCCAGCAGATGAACCGGACTCATCCGCAAGTACGCAGTGGATGCAAAGGCCCGCACTCCGCTTCTACAACACTGCAACGCCTCACCTGCCTCGCCTCGCCGTCAAAGATCTCTTGTATAAAGATTTTTCCAAAGTCAAATCCCTGACTGATGGTACGTGTGGCAGGTCCTCAAACGGTCAAATCAGCAGCCTATGGCAGAAACATTCAATATCAGTCGACCTATGGAGGGACAGATTGACACCTAGGATGGGACGAGCCTTAGGGATCTGGCAACACGTGTCTCCTCATCCAACGGTTCTCCTCTTTCCATCCTTAGTATAAATATCCTCTCCTTGTGCCAAAAGAAGGATTGGAATCTTACATATTCTCCATTACATATTGTGAAATCAAGTATCATCATCTCCCTTATATGTGTCAATTTTATCTATACACACTTGTTCAACCACTTTCCGGCGAGTGTTCCACCGNCCCCCTCGGGGAGAGGCCACGAGTGACTAAGGGGGTGGTACGTGTGCAGGAAGAGCTTACTTGAAGACCTATCCTGTTGGCCACGTGTCCGAGCCATTTTTCGAGGTCAACAGTTATTAAAAAAACAAAGTTTATCACTTCTATTAAGAGTCGATAAACAGCAGAGTAATGTGCAATTTGTTGAAAATTATTGTCAAATAATTATTATTGAGGTTGATATAATTCTTGTGTTTGTAGGTGATGTATTGCTACATTTTGTGGTTGATGCTATATTGGGAGCACTGGGACTCCCAGATATAGGGCAGATCTTTCCAGATGATGATCCTAAATGGAAAGGCGCGGCATCGTCCTTATTCATTAAGCTGTGCGCTCTTCTCTAGTTTTTCTTTCTTATTTCTTAATTTTAGTGTATGGTGTTTTTGACACTGTTAGTTATATTTTTTTACTGGTTTGCTTGCTGTGCTGAGTTTTCACTCTTTTCCAAATTTGTTAGCATGTTGTGTTTCAAGACCTGGCACCTTAAGCTATATGTAAATTGGAGGTCTCGTGGATTTCTTTATTTGTCATTCACAATTTTTTTTGCCTCATTGATGCATAATTTGCTCCCTGAAATTATCTGATTCTTAGATGTAGTACCAGTGGATAGACCTTGTTAATACTCATTGCAGTCACACACGAGGTTGGATGGATCAAGACTTTCAGAAATCTGTAGAAGAATTCATTGGAAATTACAAATGCAATTTATTGAAAAGAGCCCCTGTGACAAATGGGGTTCAAGAAAGCATGCAGATGCAGTAACCTCACACACACTCCTTGTCAAGAGAAATCAAAAGAATCTGCCCGATTTTGTTGATATTTTCTCAATTATTCTTACAAGCTTGTAGCAACTTTTATTATCAAGTAATTGTTATTTTCTGATTTTTCTTTTGAACGGTATACATGTAAGAGCATTGAGATTATATTAACCACATTATTTTTGGATGGGTGCTCTTTTACGATCTAACTTAATTCTCGTAACTTCATATTAGTCCGGCTAATGAACGAGGCAGGTTATGAACTTGGAAACTTAGATACCTCTTTGATTCTGCAAAGACCTAAAGTAAGCCCGCACAAGGAGGCGATCCTGGCTAATTTGTGGGAGTTACTTGGTGCAGACCCTTCAGTCGTAAATCTGAAAGCGAAAACTCATGAGAAAGTTGACAGCCTTGGGGAAAATTGGAGTATTGCAGCACATACGGTGGTTCTCCTTACGAGGAAGTATTAGGCATGTTGTTTGAACTCAAAATGTAAGGATTGTATGTATTACTGCTTGTGGAAATTCAATTGCTTTCTTACAGTTCTCCTAAAAGATGCAATTGATAGTGCAAATGTATGACATTGTACTGATAATTAATCACAATATAATTTAAGATTGTGTACATAGATTTATTTTTTCACTTCTCTCTCTTGTAGTTCAACCACACCCCCCCCCCACCCCCCCACCTCCTGTTGCAGAGAGAATTTTTGCCTTCGGTTAAAAGCCGCAGCTGCTGGGGTGGGAAACTTAACTACCTCCAAAGACTAGCATTGGTTTTGCGGAAGTTCCCTTTGGGAATGATTCAATGCTTTTGCTTTCCTCTCTAAAGCACTTAATCCTAGCGTTTATTAACTTGTGCTAGCTATTCATGTCTGAAACGAATTCATGAACAGGTAAGGATGGTGGACGTGAAGATATTCTTTCCCTTTTTTTGGCCGACTCGACATTGATTATTTAATTGGATTGAGCCTATTAAACTAAGCAACCTCGGCAACCTTGGATTGGGCTTGAACTTGGACCCATTTCACTAAACCCACTTGGCTCATTTCCACTTTTCTATATATATATATATATATAATCATTTCTGCACGGTGTGTTTTTCTGACCCTAGCCAAACTTCTTCTCCCATCTCTTTCACTTATTTATCTCTTCCAATCATTGACTTGATCGTCGAAGTGCAAACGGTTGTCGGACCTTTTCTTCGGTTGACGATAAGTTCACAGGTGACATCTATGCGGAGGGAGGTGGCTAGAATTGTGTTGTCGCATTTTTTGAGGTCAATAGAAACCATCTAAATAAATAGTTCACAGTGAAATTTGACGGTTGAAGATTTAAATGTAAAAAGGAAAGGTTGAGCATTCAATTTGCAATTGATTCCATACTCTAGGAAGACTATGGTTGCAATTCTTTTTGCTGTATGCGTGCAAGTACAAGAGTACAATTCTAAATAAATTTGAACATCAAATCTCACACAAAAAGATTTCATAATGATAAAGAACAGCTAACTGGAATGGCCGAACAAAAATGTTTGTCCTGAGGAAGTTCACCTGAATAAGAAATCCAAAATCTTATAACAATCATGCTACAATGTCATAATCCTTGACATAATGTCACATGGCATTTCATCGTTTGACTGTTTTAAACACGGTCAACTTCTTCATCGAATCATCTGCTGCCATCTTGGATTATGTCACTGCATTTGTTACATTGGCAAAATCCATAACTATAGCTGGAAGGTTCCCAACTCATGACCATGCTGTGTGAGCTTTACTCTTCTTTCACCAACCCACTCGAGCCTATAGGACAAATCAAGATTATGAATCAAGAGTATCAATCTGTCCATTTCACTCGAACCGTGGCCATTCCCCTGCAACATAATAAAATGATGAATATGTACAGTTTGTCTTCAAGACGGAAAAAGACTTTCACATGCCATGCCAATGAAGGAATGACTAAACAAAAAAATAGATCAAAGTAAAAATTGAACTAGGCTAATGAGATTACTTGATAAAGAGCATTTTTCGCTAAGTTTAAAAATAGAAAAAGTTATGTCAAGTAACCTTTTATCTTCAAACATGTTTGGGTACATTACTTTCTCTTACTTTTTAATTACCTCTTATTTCACTCTCAAAATAAGTATTACATATTTCCCTTCGACCAAAATAAAAACAATTTATCTTTTTAAATTACTTATTTACCTAAAGTAAACTTTTCTAGCTTACACAAATGTACTAAAATATCAATGCCAATTATAAAAAGAAGTCAGAAAAATATGAGGGACATTACATATATAAGCCTTGAAAGTGTACCGTTGGAAGAATTCTAGTTCAGAAAAAACTGATGAGTTCTTAAATCAGTGGAAATCACTTATAAAAACTAAATATTTACACATGTTGATGTGAATCCTAGAACTTGACAAAATTGAAACAATCTATCAAATGCTCATGCATCACGAATTGCATTATTTATACATATATATCATGCTCATTCATTTATACATTTATTTTGGTTTTATTTTTCCTCTCCTGAAGTAGTCCATCAGAAAAAATATTTTCCTAACCTATAAGATGCATGAATACGTATGGATCAACACATACAAAAATGAAGCCAAAACCATATAAAGTATTACTGGTGAATTGGCTTGTCGATCATTACCCAATGCACTCGCCATTATGCTGGATCTAGTAGAATTAGGTGAAAATCCCTCCCATGGGGGGATGAAGATCAGTTTCGTGCACTGGACAGGCACAAGATTTCGGCTAAGTTTCTCCCACCAAACAGATCCCAATGACCACCATCTGATCATCAAGCCATTCTCAGAAAATGCAACTAGCCCCTGAAAGAGAACCGATCCTTAAAGAATTTCTAAAGATCAACTTTAAATCCTTAAAAATAGAGCTTTCTGGACCAAAAAGAAATTGACTTCAAGCATGTCTTTTTCTGGAAAGTATGTATAGACTTACTTTTATAATAGCAAGTCTTTAAACTAGAAGTACCCCTAACTAGACATTAAAAAAATTTGTGAGAAAGCCCAACCGTATTTTGACAAAAAAAATACTTTTCTCTAGGCTTAACCAAAAGTACTCGAATCATTTCAGAAGTTTCATACCCGTATTGCACAAGGTGTCACACAAGTGAGCATTATAATGTGAAGAAACAGAATTAAAATCCCATAAAAGGTCTAATCGGTACGATAGCTCGTGAGCCCTAAGATCCACCTAACAAGGTCAGTGTAAATTACTCTAAAGGAAAATAGAAAATGAGTAAACAAAGATCTCTGAAAAGGAAAATCATCAGCTTGGAGATATCAAGGGCAGAGACACAAATGTCTCTACAAGCAATGGAATCAGAAAATGTTTGAGTAAGGGAAAATAAATTGAATGAGTTTACTGATAGATACACAATTTTACTGGCCAAGTTCTAGAATAAAGCAGGATTATGAATTTTAATTTCAGATGCTTTTTCAAACATACAAAATATTTAATGCCTTTCTATTAGGACGTTTAGAAAAGAAAAGGAAAACAAAAAATGATATAAAGCTGGTATGTGGGAATGTGTTAAAAATATTTGAGCATTGAAGGAAACAATTGATTTTAGACATGAAGTAAGAACTAAAATAAACTACTGACCTATGTCTGTGTACAGAATATGCTTGCTGGCGAGGTGCCATCATTTATCAATGATATGGGTGCAAAACTAAAGCAGACTTAAGATGATGCATGCAAATATCATATCCTTACAACAATACTAAACATTACATACTAGAATCTCCTTGCAACATATGGTGCAATATGTGAGACATGCTTACTATTCCATAAATTTAGATTCCATACTGAATTAATAAATCTGTTTTATGTTTTGTTCATCTCACTAGAGAACAAGACAATAATGCTTGAAAAGCACATCAACTTATAGGCAAATTCAAATCTGTAGGGACTTAAAGCAAAACAAATCTATCGAACTTATAAAAGAGAGAATGCTAGAACTTCCTAGACAGCATGTACCAGGAACGAGTTTTATAGTGCTCTTTTTTTAATTGAAAATGATTTCGACTCTTGAAGAATGTGTTGGTTGCTTAAGTGTTGTACTCTGCATCATATCTATTTGGTAGGATCTTTTAATTGGAGTATTGCAGTCGAACAAGTCCTGGTTGGAGCCAGGACAGGTATGCATGTCTCCAACAATTAGAGACAAATGAGTGAATGAAAAAAGAGTTCATAGTATACAGATCAGAGGTACCTCTCCATCCGGTGAAAAGCTTAGAGCTGTTATTGTTGTTGTTACAGCCATTTCCAAGGCCCCTCCAAGCAAACTCGGAAGTCCCGGAGGTCCACTTGCATCCAAGATCTTTATCTTGCTCACGCTACATAAAAGTTGCAAGTGAGAAGAAATTCAAATTGAGAAACTGGGTGAAAATCACATCTCCATGTCTACAAAAAAAACATTGTGACGTACATCCTTGCTAACATATACGTCATCATGGTCAGGCCTTTGAAGACCATTAAATAACATAACAACCACATACTACAGAAATAAGCACACAAAATGCTATATAGAGCTCAAGAAGGTATGAGTCAGCACTGTAAGCATAAAGAAGAAAGGGGAATCCAGAGCAGTTTTTTTTTTTTATTTTGATCTGGGGCCTATACATAACACACGCATACAAACACACAAAATAGGCTGTTGTACAATAATCATTGCAATTGGTCATACCATCGCCCTTATGTTTATGAAGGGTAATCTGCATGTCCATATTGGTGAAATTCCATGCATATCAGAAGGGTAGAATGTAACAATATATGTGCAAATCGACAAACCTGAACGCCTATATCTCCAGTCCATAATTCTACTCCAGACATTATGAATCCATAAATATGCCATAAACATATATAAGGCCCAGCCTCTTCAAGTAAAAATAAAAAAAGTAAAAATAAAAAAATTATTATTACCTTTGCATGTCATACACCCGAATACTGGAATTATTGATATCTCCAATTGCATCCCCAACAGCCAACCGGGTAGATGTATCATTTAGAGCTACCATAGGGAACATACGCACAAGTTCCTTCAATGTGGCCATGGAAGTCAGAACGCAAGTTTTGCGCATGATTAGATTTCCGGGATCCATAGTCTGTAAAATGAAAGTTACCACCTGCAAACCTGTCTAGGTGTTAGAAATATAAAAAATTGATATAACTTCAATTTCAAGCAGACTAAATTATTGTAATTCAAATTCATCAGTAATATTGTACATCCTTTTTACAAGGTGAGATACCAGAGATCAAGGACTATTAAACCAGATAAATGATGTGAGTGGTGCACAGTAAGAGAACTTGGTGAGAGAATGATAATAAATCTAATCATGTGGGTGATCAAATATTTGTTTCTACAAACCTTATCAAGGTATGGAACTAAGCTTCTAGGCGAACCACGGACAACCCTTATCAAAGTCATGAGAGAAACCACGT